TCATATAGCTATTAACCTCAAAGTAATTGAACATTTTTTAAAGACAGAAGAGTGTATGACATTCAACTACTTTAGCAAGCTTCCCATTAAAGCCAAAGGGAAGCACTAGAATGAGCTATTAGCCTTCAACTAGGAAGAAAACTTCTCATTCCAAAATCCGGTTACCAAGTGTCTCAGTTACTTTTCTTGTTGCTGAGATAATATACTGGATGTCCAAAGTTAAAAGAAGAAAAGGTTGCGGCCGGGAAGATGGTTCAGTGGAATAAGCGCTTCCCTGACAAGCGCAAGGGCCTGAGTTCCATCCCTGGTTCTGCAAAAAAAGAAAAAAGAAAAGGTTTATTTAGCTCATGGTCTATAATTGGCTGGGTCCAAGGCAGGGTGACACATGGCAGAGGGGCAACCATTCGTGACAGCAGAAGACAGCGAAAAGAGCAGAAGAGCACGACACTCCTCTTTCTGTCCCTTCTGTTATATCCAGTCTAGGGCATTAGGACAGTGGCAATCCAGCCAGTGGGCTGATCCAGCAATCACCCCCCCCCCTTAGTCCCAGCATGGCACCAGGAATCAATTGCACACTTTAGATTCAGCCTCTGAAAAGGTCCTATGACCACACGAGGCTGTGGGGTGGGGAAGGCATCTAGACCCAAACCGTAACACCGACTTTGTCTAATAGTTGACTGAACTTCAGCTAAATATTTACCTAAGTCTGTGTGTAATTGATACTCTTAATTAATCTTTACTTTCTGTCCTCATAAGTAGGTTGGTAATGAATCCTATGAACTTGTTGTTCTTTCTTTCCTCATAGTTTGAAAGCAGATTTCAAACTTCTTCGATAACCGAGGAACTAAACCTAGTATGTAACACTGAGGAAAGTGAGTCCTAGGGTTTGCTTAAGCATTTACAGTGGGGTCCTGAGGGAACGGAGAATGGGACCTAAATCTTTCCACCCTTGATTCTAGACATCCCCTCCCAGCCATACTAGTACTTCAGGGTAGTTATTGAATAGACATCGGTTACACATGAGCCAGCCAGGCCAGTAAGATTTCCTTGAGGTATAAAGACATATTTTTCATCATTTATACAACTGTGCCCTCAAAATTCTATGTATTAAAAAACTTTATGTATATTAATATGTACTGATAAATGCTAAAATGAAATTAAAAATTATATGTGTATGTTTAAAAAATAAAGTACACCTCAGGTAGAAATGTGCCCTAAAATATTTTGGAATTTACACTAGAGTAAGGCATTAGTGCTGTGGCGCATAAGACACTACATATGTGGGAATTGGTTTTAAAATATGTGAATAAATACTGTATGTAAAAATTGTCAGTTTTTGCCTTTTAAATGTTATTAAACTTAGGACTGTACCTACTTAGCATTTTAGAAACTTCCAGCTGTCGAAATATCAAAAAAGATAAAGGAAAGCAGAGAGGCTGGGAAGGTGGGCAGTATTAGTCCCTGTACTGGCCCCAGTCTTCACCATGAGTGGATTCATGCTGTTTCCCTATAAAACACTCTTCTCCAGAGTAGCTGGGTTTAATGCAAGCCCGCCTGACTCAGACTGTCTGAATCCACGTGGCAGTGAAACCTGGCTGGGGAGTGAAGGAGGGGAGGGTGGGACAAGCTCTCCCATCCCAGCAGCCCCCCTCCACCTCCCCTTGACCTCCTTGGCCACAAGAAGAAGGTGTGGCTTCCAGAGCACTGGGTATTCTTGGGCAGCAAGACAGATTTGGGAGGAGGAGATGAAGGGATTCAAGTTCCTGGAGAGAGATTCCATAGGCCAGGAAAACTGTGGTCAGATCTCAAGGCTGGGATGGGAAATTCTGACAGAGGATATGGAAGGACAGTGTTTGCAAAACAGTCTTTAAAGTTTTTGTTTTTGTTTTTGTTTTAAGTTTAGGATTGGCAGGGCCAGTCAAATAGTTTAGCAGATTAAAGCACCTGTAAAATTATGGAAAAAAACCCAAAATGATGCAAACAAGAATAACACAAAAAGGAAAGGTCAATGAGACGAAAGATTTGTACTAATAGTGTTTGGTCAGGACATCATGTCTGCATCTTGTACTATGAATAACTACTGTGAAGACAACAATATGCAATGTATTAATTATTGTAACTATCCTACTAACCTCTTTTGAAACTGTCTCATTGCTATTTGTTTCTCAATAAAGTTAATTTAAAAAAAAATTTTTAAAAAGCACCTGCAAGCAGGCACAGGGGCCAGGGATTCTGATCCTCAGGCCTGTCATGCCAGCCCCACCCCCAGAGCACACTGAGATGTTCATTGAGACTGGGCGTGGTGGTGCATACCTGTAATCCCAGCTCTTGGGAGGCTGTAAACAGGCAGATCACTATGAGTCTGATCTAGAAGTGAGACCCTGAACACCCTATAGGCCCTTCCCTAAAATACAAAAAAATAAAGTTTAGGATTGACTGAAATTAACATATGGGTAAATACCTTGATAGTGAGCAGCCTGGGTTTTAGAGGTATTGTGGTAGCCATCCTTTTGGAAGGTATTTTGCTTTTGTTTTTGTTTTTGTGGTACCAGAGATTGAACTCAGGACCTTGTGCTTGCCCAGCAGGCGCTTTTGCTGCTGAGCTGTCTCCCTGGCCCTTGGAAGGTATTTGGCAAAATTGCTCACAAGGGCACATATCACCTCACCTTGGTAAGAATAGCTGCAAAAGAAGATAGGTAATAAGTACCTGCAAGAGTGTAGGGAAATAGGAACCTTTGTGCACCGTTGGTAGAACTGTGCATTAGTAAGCCATTATGCGAAACAGTATCGGGGCTGGGGAGATAGCTCAGTAGAATAAGTGCTTGCCTGGCAAGCACAAGGGCCTGAGTTCAATCCCCGGCTCTGCCAAAAAAAAAAAAAAAGTATGAAAGTTTCTTTAAAAAAGTGAAAAAAAAAAAAAAAAGAATGTATGGTCCAGCAATCTAAGCATTGAGTATATATCCAAAGAAAATGAAATCAATATTTCAAAGAGAAACCTGCATCCCCATGTTTATTGTAGTAGTGCTCACAATAGTCATGACATGAAAACAGCCAAAGTATCTCTCAACTGACAAATGGCCAAAGAAAATGTGGTGCATACACATGTGGAATACTATTTAACCATAAATAAATGAAGTTGCTCATTTGCAGCAGAATGCCTAGAACTAGAGATCACTGTTAAGTGAAATGATGTAGGCTCAGAAAGACAGATGCTGCGTACCTCCTGTGGGAACTGTAGAAAAGCTGGTCTCATAAAGGGTGAGAAGAGAATGGTAATCCTAATTGGGAGAAAACTAAAGGAAGGGTAAGCTGATCAGTAGGTACTAAGCTATAGTTAGAAGAAGGGTATTCTGTGTCTTAACTATACAGTAGAGTGACTATAGGTAATGCTATATACATTACAAAGTGCTAGAAGAGTTTTTAATGTTTTTGCTATAAATGCTTATAGTATTTGAAGATAGGTATGCTTAACATTATACAGTATACATGTATCAAAACATCACATGGTACTCCATAAATATGCAGTTTTCATCTCTTAAGAATAATCTTGGGGCTGGAGAGATGGCTCAGTGGTCTAAAGCACCTACTTGGAACAAGCTTGGCAAAGTACAGTGACCACGGTTCGATCCCCCAGCACCACATGCCAGCCAGCTGCGCCCCCTGGTGGGCTGAGCTGGCCACACACACACACACACACACACACACACACACACACACACACAATAAATAAATGTTAAAAAAAAATTTAAAAAAAGAATAATCTTAAAGGCCAGCCAGATTTTAGCTCAGGTTAAAGCACCTGCTTAGGCAGATGCAGGGGTCAGGGTTTAATCCCTGGCGTGCCATGCCAGCTCCAACCCTGGGGTATGCTGAGACTGTGATTGAGACTGGGCATGGTAGCACACACCTGTAATCCTAGCACTTGGGAGGCTGAAAACAGGAGGATCACTACGAGTCCGATCTGTGTAGTGAGACCCTGTAGACTCTGTACTAAATACATTTTTTGAAAAAATTGGATTAAGAATAAATGTAATATTTTAAAATGAATGTATTCTTTGACGTAGCAGTTTCATTGCTAGGAATTGATCCTAGAGATAGACTCAAGTGCACGCGGAAGCATAGGCACAGTAGCGTTGGCCAGAGCAGGAACTCTCACAGCATCGGGAAAGCCTGCACATTGGGACTTATCAGGCCACGATGTTACAGCGATGAAGTGCAACCATCACACGTGAGAAACAACAAACTAGATCCATGTGGCTGACTGTGAGAAGACCTCCAGAACAGTAGTGAAGAGGGCAAGCCAGCGCACACAGCAGTCCTCAGAAAGAGCGTGCTAGTTGAAACAGTGTCTGGTTTTTATATTCAGATGATGTTTGTAATAGAAACCCGTAGACTAGTAGGTATCTAAAAAAGCATGAAGGCTGCTTGAGAGCTGGGCATATGAGATGGAGACACGTGTGCTCTAAAACTCTGGAAGTTTACCTGTTCATATTAGATCTATCCATTTATAAGCTTGGAAATTTTAAAGCTGGTCGCAGTGGTGCACACCTGTAATCCCAGCACCGTGGAGGCTGCGGCAGGAGGATCACAAGGTCAAGCCCACTAGGGGCTTAGTGAGATCTGTCTTAGAAAATAAAGCTCTGGGGAACGTAGCTCAGCGCAAGGGCCCTGAGTTCAATCCCTAGTACCGTGCCACAAATAACAGTTTGTAAATTGTTAAGTACAATATAATTTTAAATATATAGCTCATGTAAACTTACTTGTTTATGTACTAGAGGGAAAATAATGTGCAAACATTTTCCTGTGGTTTTGAATATCTAGCAGGCAGCTAAAGATGCCATGTAGTAAGTGAATGGATCTCATGTTCAAGGTAACAAGAGGCTGAGCTTATTTTTTTACTCCTTCATCTTCAGATCCCGGCCTGTGATTAACATTCAGAAAATCATCACAGTGACCCCTAACAGAATTGACCTCCGCCAGAAAACGTGCGGGGCGCCTAGCGGGATATGGTGAGAGTGCTGTTCTGGGAGCTCTGTCCAGTGCTGCTGTGCTGTGTAACTTGTCCATGGGGTGGGGGTGGAGGGTCGGAGAGCAGGGGAACATGTTGGGTTGCTTCTACTGCAGTAATGCCTCTTTTTAAGAGCTGTGTGTTTGATTTTATATAGCCTCAAGGTTAAAGCCTGTTTCGAATATACTGCTAAACCGACTGGTTACAATCCTCCAATAAGTAAGTACTTCTAGCACATTAAAAAAAATTTTTTTTCTCTCTGCCAGGTTGACAGTTCTGCATAAAACAGAAAAACAAAACTATGGTGGCCCAGTGGGCCTATAAATTCTTGTTTAAAGAGTTAAGTGTATATGTGGTCTCCCCTTTAATCAGGAGAGCACTGTGTAGGGAGGGAGGAAAAATTCCATTTGGTCTCCATTTGAATTTTCCAGAGCAGATGGTTTGGGACAGAATGCCTTGGAAAACTACTTATTTGCTACCACAGTGGTTTCCTCCATTTCTGTCTTTGAAAAGCAGTGTGGAAAATTGGTTTTGTGGTAGTGAGGTGGTGGGTGGTGGCTGTGGACAGGCAGCTGAGGAGCAGCACAGAGCACAGGACAGAATCTGTGCCAGGTTAGAGGCCTGAGACCCAGAACACCCAAGCAGTGTCCCCAAAGGCAGGCCCCAGGTGTTGGAAGGCTGGCCCTGAGGTGCCAGAGCCTGAGGCTTTACTCCAGGTTTCAACAGTGATGCCCACTGACCTCACAGCACAGGCCAAGCCTGGAGCCCTTTGAGCTTCTAACTTCCCATCAGCTCCTGGAATCGTGGTGGTGATCAAGTGAAAAGATGTGGTGGAAGGCTGTTTGTCCTTTATATCATTATGCTGCCTTTCTGTGTAATCCAAAACAGGACTTTTGCCGCAGACTTTGACACACCTAGTCATACCTAGTTATACTTTGATAGATAAGGTCTAATGATAGATAAGGTCTTCATCGCTATGTTTAGTGGCAAACACCCCATGTCATGTGTGAACCGCCTGGCCCAGGTCCTGGTAAGGCAGGGATGTGGGAATTTAAAGAAAAGTCTGCTTGCTTGGTGTGGTGATGCATACCCCTAATTGTTGAGAGGCTAACACTGGAAGATCGAAAGCTTTAAACCAGCACAGGCTGCTCAGAAAGACCCTATGTAAAAATAAAAGGGCTTGGGATATAGCAGTGAAAAAAAAATTTATGATAACATTCAGTGAGTTATGAAGAGCAGCAATTTAAGCAAACACAGTGTGTTTAATTAAAATTACAGCCATCATCTTTGGGGGCCCACGTAGCTTTCATCTTTCAGATTTGAAGCTGTCCCTACAAGGCTTCTTCACCTCCCTCCTGCTGGGCCATCTCTTGCTATCTGGCCTGCATGGTGGGTCCTGCAGACCCAGTGTGAAGTGTCTGTGCCTTGGGTGTAGTGTGACACTGTGCGTAGAAGCTATGGCCTCTTGCTCAGATGTCCAATACAACTGGCCTTTTGCAGCTTGGCTTTTAATGACAATGAAACATACACCATGCTCCTCTGATATCTCACCCTTTTCCTGTTGTTTTTATTAGCTTACCCAAATGTCCTACCTTACACTTGCCCACCTAGATGACAGGCATCTTGGCCTTGTTTGAAATGAACTGGAGACACAAAAAGCAGCACTGATTCTTGGGCAGGGGAGATGGGGAAAGCATGGTGTCTGCTGTTCTGATTGCCATTTTTTTCAGGCCACTCCGTAGAGCATAAACTGGAGTGCTCCTCTCAAGTTCATTTATATAAGAGAAATTACCAGCCTTCCCCTAGCTTTAATGCAACATTTGATGTTGTGTGCGTTGCTTTTATATTCTGTAATTATTCCATTAACCGAGTGTTTGTTGGGGGCCTATTATGGGTGGATCTTTTTTCTTTGAAGGCAGGGAGCACTTTCTTTGATTGCCTTTACTTCCCTGGGCTGGGGAGCTTCCGAAGGAAATAGAATGGGACTTTTTCAAAACTGCTTAAGATACTACCTCTAGAATCTTCCCTCAACATCCCCAAACATGAGCTTATTGTTTGACCAGGATACTTGAACTCGGCAGTCCTCAGATGTAGTGTTCCATACATTCAGATATTTATAATTGAGCCCTAATGAATGTCTACTTGGCTTGCCCCTCAGAGGGTCAGCAGAGGTGGCCTGCAAGGATTTTAAGATGGCATGAACTGTCTGGAGGGTGAGGGAAGGTTACTGTGGTTTTAGTGGATAAACGTTTTAATGCATCCACACCCTGCAGCACTTTGGTGATGAGGGGCACTCAGCGTGGGAGCCTTTCTCTGGTTCATTGTAAAGTTAGCAGGTCACTGATAAATGGATGATGTCGAGGCTATGGAGGACCTACAGTGGGGGAGCATTCCATTTGGTGGCTGTGACATTTAAGAATTTTTCAGATGGGCACAGAAATTACTATTGGAACTGTCCTCGTTTCTAAATTTTGGTCCTACATATCTGAGGAACTATCATTTTAGCATAAGAATGCTGTTATATTCTCTGGGTGTGCGTGCACACACATGCGTCGGGGCTTGTTGCTGTGGGTGAATTCCTCCTACTTCTGTTCATCCGCTCCACAAATCATGTTTTCTGTTGGATGTTGAGGTAGTTGGTGGTGCCCGGGACTGTGTGGTCCCTGTCTGAGCTTGTCCCCACTATGGGAGACAGGCAGTCACTGCACAGTAGGCGTGGAGGGGCTGGAGACACAGAATGCTCTAGAGAGCCACAGGACCCTCTAGGATGGGATTTCTGGAGGAAGTGGTGGCCAGCATGAGGTGTAATGGAGAAATGGGATCCACTGAGCAGGCCAAATATTTCTGTGGTTTTTTTTTTTTTTTTTTTTTTCTGTACTTAGGACAGGGTCTTCAGGGTCTCACCTTCATAGATCGGACTCGTAGTGATTCACCTGTTTTCATCCTCCCAAGTGCTGGGATTACAGGTGCTCGCCACCACACCCAGTCTCAATCGCTGTCAGTGCACACTGGGGGCGGGGCTGGCATGGCAGGCCTGGGGATCGAACCCCGGCTGCTGTGCCCTGCCTAAGAAGGCACTTTAGTCCACTGAGTTATCAGGCTGGCCCTTACTTCATCTATAAAGATACGATATTAAAATAGGTGCTGTCACAAAGGTTCCTTTTGTCCTCAAGGTAAATATTAGAGCATGGGCTGTTCATAGTCTCAATTTCTGTAGCATATATTTGCCTTCTCCGTGCTGCATATGTGTCAGCTTGCTTGCTTTTCTGATGGTTAGTGAGTGCCTAATGAATGTAAGTAATTTAAGTATTGGCCCATAGAAAACATGGTTAGCAGCTACATCCAGTGACCTGGCAAAAAAATGCATTCTGAAGTCAAGAAATGAAATCGTGATAATCCGGATCCTGGCTTGCATCCAAGTACCATTAGTAATAATCAAAAGCAAGCTGTCCTCCTAGAGCAGGGTGGAAACTTCATTGGTAGGGGTCTCATTACGCTGGCAGACAGTATCCCAACCACTAACAGGGACATCATTTGCCATTTAGTGCTTTGCTTTTTTTTTTTTTTTTTTTTTTTTTAGGGAAATAATGTTTTTTTTTTTTGTATCCACAGAGTGTTCAGGGTCTCACTACTAGATCGGACTCATAGTGATCTGCCTGTTTACGGCCTTCCAGGAGCTGGGATTACACACCACACCCAGTCTCAGTTGCCAGCACACCCCGGGGGTGGGGCTAGCAGTGTATCAAACCCCTGGCCCCTGTGCCTGCTTGCAGGGGCTTTAATCCACTGAGCTGTTTGGCTGACCCCTGCTTTTTTTTTTTTTTTTTAAAGGTGAAAGGTCTTGTCCTGCTTGCAAAAGACTTATCCAAAAATAAAAAAAAATAAAAAAAAAAGACTTATCCATATCCCTTTGTTTAAACAAGTGTCCTTTATCATTGCTCCTTAAACTATAAGAATTACCCAGGGATGTTGTTAAACTGCAGATTAGGGTTTAGTTGTCAGGAGATGCCACCTTTCCCAGAATAGTAAAGGCCCAGGGTCAGTGAAGCAAGATCTCATTAGAGAATCAGTAAGCTGCGGCCCTGAGAGAATGTTGGATGTTTCTAGTTCTTTTCCGTATTCTGCGTGTTCCTGAGATTGAGCCCCAAAGTCACTGATTCTTTAGGAGCTGCTGTGAGAAGGTTTTGACTTATTCTCGAGCTCCCCCAGGTGGCCCAGAGAAGATTATGACAGTGTTAAGAGTAGATGGGGGAAGGATCAAATTGAAAACATCACAAATCACGATGCATTCCTTATTAGGAAATACAAAGAGAAACAAGTGGTGGGGAAAAAGTGTTCTATGAAAAGTTAAAGTATTTCAAAAGGAAGTCAAGCTGAAGGCTGGGTGATGCATGAACACAGTGTCAACACGATTTTGTTAATTTTATCTAGCAATCATGGGCACACTCGAAGCTGAAAAACAAAGGAGAAAGTCTGGGCTGTCCTCAAGAGTTCAGTTTCGAAACCAAGCATCTGAGCCCAGATATACGCAGGAACTCACTCTGAACAGGCAGAAGCAGCGGCAGTGCATGGAGGAGACGCTCTGGTTGCAGGTGAGCACGGCGGCAGGAGGACAGTGGCGAGGCCTTCCGGCCTTCTGCCTAGATCCTGAGATGGGCCCCCGCAACCTGTCAGTCACTACACAGTCATCGTTTGGGGCTCCCCAGTTGCATTTCAGCATAATTGTGTCACCACTCGCTTTGCAGGAAAACATCAGAGACAAGCTGCGTCCCATCCCCATCACAGCTTCCGTGGAGATCCAGGAGCCCAGCTCCCGACGGCGGGTAAACTCACTTCCAGAAGTTCTTCCAATTCTCAATTCCAATGAACCCAAGACAACCCAGACTGATGTAAGTCTTCCTGACTTTTGTTTTGCCTAGGTCATTGCTGTGTTGTGAGTTAAATCAACCCACAAGGCAGTGGAACCAGTGACGTACTCTAAAGCTGCTCCCTTATTATTAATCTGTTATTTAATGCACTGTTTGAGAAGACTTGTTTCCCAAATTAGCAGTGAATACAGAAACCTATGAAATACAGTGTGGAGCCTGGCAGTGTTTTGTCTTCCTCGTTTTTGGCCACTGTAATTACGATTATAATTGGCAAAGCATGTATTTTATTGTTTTCTCCCAATAGAAAGAACAATGCATGGCATTTAATCACTGAGAACAGTAAAGGACAGAAAACAAATCAAGGAAGATTGAAATTCAGAGAGGCAAATGTATATTATGATGTAATAATCATTTAGTGTCTAATGTAGCCTAGGTCATCTTTTTTTTTTTTTTTTTTTTTTGCAGAACTAGGGATTGCACTCAGACCCTTGCGCTTGCCAGGCAAGCGCTTATTCTACTGAGCTATCTCCCCAGCCCCATAGCCTAGGTCATCTTAGGAAGAAATACATGGTTTGCTAGACCTCTCATTTAAGGTATATGTTTACTAGTGCTTAGAAGGGCTGAAATCAAGATTAGCCTGGGGAGATACGATTTCTTGATTGGGCACTGCACATTTTCTGTCAGAGTCCAATAGCTGGGCATGGTGACACTTGCCTGTAGTCCACTGGGGAGGTTCAAGCGACATGATTGCATGAGCGCAAGTGTTTGAGGTCAGCCTGTGAGACCTTATCTCGTACAGAAAAAAATAATCCACTTGGGACTGGATTGAGGCTGTGAGGCGGCTGGTACTAGTGGCTCTCTGGCCCAGCTTTGTGAACAGGGGAATATTCAGGAGCTGAGGCCTAAATCCCTACTTCATCGGTTGTTTCTATCACCGACCAGTTCCCTAAACTTCAGTGTACTTTACATGCGTTGATGTTGTTGGCTGTTATGTCGTTAATGTTTCCTGGGTACTTTGCCGGTTCCATAATCAAGTTAAACATAACAGTAAAGGAGTCAGTTTTCCTAATAATTTCACCATGTGATTTTCGAGTACATAATCAAGCATTGTGTTCTCTCTGCCATTTGCTTTTCTAACTTTAAGCCCGTTGTTTCCCCCTCTGTATGGCGGGGCTTGTAATAATGGTATCTTAACCCTCCTCAGAGTTCCGTTGTGAGATTGGATGAGTTCAGTGTGTGAATCATGTTACCCATCATAACTTTTCATAATTTTTGTGGTAGACCTGTAAAGTAATACTTACGGTAGACCTAGTGTCTCACCGACCAGCTTGACGCCTACACAGCTAAGTAGTGGCAGAGCCAGATTTGCTACCCAGATTTTCTGTGGCTGCACACTGCTGCATCACGCTGTGTCCACGCCGTCAGTGGTTTTTGTCACCAGATAGAGGTCACCATGTTTGGATAAAGGACAGAGCAGGAATTAAGTGGTGGTGTATGTTTCCCCCTCAAATTCTGTGAAATGAATTATATGGAAACTTCTTTAGATGCCTTTGTTTTCCCACAGGTGCACTTCTTAAAAGAGGGATGTGGTGACGACAATGTATGTAACAGCAACTTAAAACTAGAATATAAATTTTGTACCCGAGAAGGAAATCAAGACAAATTTTCTTATCTTCCAATGTAAGAATCACTTTGTAGCACTAACAAAACACAACTCGGGCTTCTAGGTGGCTTTTTGTTGAGGAAAGATTCCTAGAAACATATTGGGTCAGGCTTTTTCTTTTTCTTGTTGTTTTCTGAATAGCCAAAAAGGGGTTCCAGAACTAGTTCTCAAAGATCAGAAGGATATTGCTTTGGAAATAACAGTGACAAACATTCCATCTGACCCAAGAAATCCCAAAAAAGACGGCGATGATGCCCACGAAGCCAAACTCGTGGCAACATTTCCTGACACTCTGACATACTCCGCCTACCGAGAACTGAGGGCTTTCCCTGTAAGTGTTTTCAGGGAGTACGTGTCTAGGGGTGGGAGTGGGGGACCAGTGCCACATAGCACACTGTGGCGATTGTGCTACAACCTGTTTCCTTTCTCTGCTACAGGAAAAGCAGCTGAGTTGTGTGGCCAACCAGAATGGCTCCCAGGCAGACTGTGAACTCGGAAATCCTTTTAAGAGAAATTCCAGTGTGGGTGATGCCTTCGTGTACTGTATTTTACTATCCTAAATGCCATTACCATATACATATACTTGGCCTGGGTTAATAGCTATTTATATTTTTTAGGTTACTTTTTATTTGATCTTAAGTACAACTGAGGTCACCTTTGACACCACTGATCTGGACATTAACCTGAAGTTGGAAACGTAAGCCTTGCTTCTCTCCACCTTCCCATCCAGAATTACTACATGAAATCCCCGTCAGCCAATGAATTGGCACTGATCGGATGCATAAAAGAAATGGAATTGTAATGAGAGAACTGACTGCTAAAGTAAAACCCTATTGTTTCCTTTTCATTTTCAGAACAAGCAATCAAGATAATTTGGCTTCAATTACAGCTAAAGCAAAAGTGGTTATTGAACTGCTTTTATCGGTCTCCGGGTAAGTGTTTGTGTTTAGCATAACAAATCAACGTTTGAAAGAACCATTTACAATCCTTACTAAAACTAGTGTTTTATAATTTAACAGAGTTGCTAAACCTTCCCAGGTGTATTTTGGAGGTACAGTCGTTGGTGAGCAGGCGATGAAATCTGAGGATGAAGTGGGAAGTTTAATAGAGTATGAATTCAAGGTGAGCTGGAGCAGTTGGTCCTTTTCTTATACTGGAAACTGCCATATCAGAGATAGTAGTCATTTAGCAAATAGATGAAATTAATAAAAAGCATTATAAATGAATATCCAGTTAAATGTGAGCTTGCCAATTTTTAAACAGCGTGCTGGTTTATAAAAACTTTATCCTTAAGAGTAGGGAACATGGGGGCCGGGGAGATGGCTCAGTGGAATAAGCGCTTCCCTGGCAAGCGCAAGGATCTGAGTTCAATCCCCGGTTCCATCAAAAAAAAAAAAAAAAGAGTAGGGAACAATTGTCCCCAGCCTAGGCCTTCAGAATCCAGTTTGGTGTGATCTGTTTCTTATTAGAATTGTAATGTATGTGTGGTTTAGAGATAAAGTAATATTTGATCCCCATTCTACCAGGGTCTATAAAACAAACAAAAAAATCTCGAGTAATTTGTGTTGGGCTTTGGAATGGATAGTTTATTTCTTCCTTCATAATAAGGTCATCTTATTGCTTGTGGTTGAAAGATGGTTGATGTCTTAGTCATCTTCTTGTCACTAGGAAACAATACCAGACACCCACAGCTTAAAGGAGGAGGTGCTTATTTTGGCTCGTGATTTAGAAATTTTAGTTTGTGTGTTGTTGGCTGCCACCAGGCAGAAACAACATGGCAGGAAGGCCAAGGTGCTCATGTCCCAGTTTCCAAGAAGCAGAGAGAATGAAGGGAAGAACGGGGAAGATAAACAAACCCTTCCAGGCCACTCCCCCATTGATCTGCATCTTCCAGTCAGGCTGCACCTCCCCACATCCCATGTCATAATTTCCCATAATCCATTTACCTTTTGAAAGCTCTGCCTTCGAGTGCCTGAGGCTTTGAAGGGACATCCAGGTATCAACATAGCAATTAATGTTTGCCTCCCTTTCATAGGAATTTTGGGTTGGTGATGTAGCTTTAGCTTATGCCAGTAAGGAAAGTAATGACTGGGTCTGAACTACTTCGAAGTAGGAAATCATAGTGACTTTGTGCAGTTGAATGAATATATTAACACCTGGAGTGAAGTTCACTCATAACGCACAGGGGCTACGGTCTGTGTGACTTAAGTCACATTCCTTCAAAGCACTGTAAGCACCGAGGTCAAAGTCAGAACAGCAAGAGCAGGCCACTGCTGACTGGAGGCTGAATGACGAGCCTCCCCCTCTGTGTCTCTTAGCATTGCACACACTGCCAGACCGGAAGTGGCGTTGGGTACAATCTCTGCACAGCTTTGGCTGGAAACGAAGCCTGTGGGTTCTGGAGCAGCCATTCACCCAGGTGCACAGGACTCCAGCCTCTTGCTTTTGGCTCTTAACATAGGACATTCCTCAGCTCTCTCATAAGGTTTCCAACAACTCTCCTCTGGGTGGTAGAGGGCAGAAGCAGTTTTATTTTCACTGTGGGCAGGTTCTCCAGAAGCAGGTCATGGGTGCACTGCCATGGCACAGGTTAGTCACCTACCAAGCAGGACAGTTGTACACCAGTGTCCTAATTATAGCACACACAGGAGTTTCCCTGGATTGATTGAGAATAATACGTAGTATGTCAACACTGCTGATTGTGTTGCCTACAACTGTTGTACCTGCCTGTGAATTAGCAATTACCTCTTTGACCTTTCCCTCATGTTTTTTTGACAAGATTCTTTAATCACAAACCTCTATTTTTTTTTTTATTTATAGTGGAACCGGGGATTAGAACTAGGGCCCTTGCACTTGCCAAAGAAGAACTTCTTCCAATGAGCCTTCTCCCTGGCCCCCAAACCTCTATTTTTGAATACCTTATCAGTTGTCCATTTATTTTTCATTAAAAGGAATATGCTGAGATAATATGTATTCTTTTCTAACAGGTGATTAACTTGGGTAAACCTCTTAAAAACCTTGGTTCAGCGACCTTGAATATTCAGTGGCCAAAAGAAATAAGCAATGGCAAATGGTTGCTCTATTTGGTGAAAGTGGAATCCAAAGGACTGGAAAAGATAGTTTGTGAGCCGCCAACAGAAATAAATGCTCTGCACCTAACGGTATGTGGATGGACTCGTGTGATGTCTCCCTAAGTATAAATAAGAGAAGCTGACCGTCAGGAGGGTCGGGGCTCTCGGTAGGAGACTGGCACTTTGGCATGTTGGCTTTTTCTTTGATTGCCACAGTTTCTCCTTTTGAGCTGAGTAACCAAGCCAGGCTGAGGCACTTTTGCTGATTGGTGACCATTATGATACCTAAGGCACGGTCACTCAGTACTTGTCGGGCGAGGGACTTTTTTTCTCAAGTGTCGTGACTCAGTATGCCGTGTAAAGAGGATTAGGATGTGTTGTTGGGAGGGAGCCAGTCAGGGTCAGTGCCAAGCAGGGCCATTACAACTCATTACGAAAGATAAAGGCTCCTCAGCAAATGACCTTGAGAGCTTTATTCTTATTTTTTTAAACAGCAAATAAATACTCACTGAGTACTTCATTGTCTTAAACGCTGTACTGACCATTTTGTTTGTGTTTCTAAGCTAATTTATTTATTTAGAGACAGGTTCCCACTGTGCAGTTCAGGCTGCTTCAAACTTACTCTGTGGCCCGAGCTGGCCTCTGTCTTACTGTGATTCCTCCTGCCTCAGTCTCTTCAGTGCTGGGATTATAGGCCCAGGGATCAAACCTCTAGTTCTGCAAAATTAAATAAATGAATAAATATTCTTACCTGAGGGGCGGCCAAATAGCTTAGCAGATTAAAGCGCCTACAAGCAGGTGCAGGGGCTGGGGTTCGATCCCTGGGCCTGCTGTGCTGGCCAGCTCCCAGGGCACGCTGAGACAGCAATTGAGACTAGGTGTGGTGGCATGCGCCTGTAATCCCAGCTCTTGGGAGGCTAAAAACAGGTGGATCATTATGAGTCCCATCCAGTAGTGAGACCCTGAACACCCTGTAGACCCTTCCCTAAAATACAAAAAATAAACAAATAAATAAATGAAATATAAAAGTTCTTACCCGGCACAGTTGTTGGTGCCTTGTCTCGACTTAGTCATACTGCTTCTCTTTGTTCCTCAGCTCACTCGCCATTCTGTGTATACTGTCTACCATGTTAGGTATCGAGCTGGGGGCAAGGGACACAGGAATATGAACCTGTCCCTGACCTCAGTAAGTTCATGGTGTGGTGCCTTGTGTTCAGTAGGGACACAAAGGAACAAAGGAGCATCTTTCTTTTTGCCTCAGATTAAAAACCACAGTAGAAGTACACTATTTAAGCAGTCGTAGGAATTAGTCAATACAGTTGACGCCAGAGTGGTCAAAACATTCACTAGTTTTACACTGAAGATGGGTGTGGGCTTTGGTGCTGGAGGTGAGGGTGGTACTGATTGCTGATTAAACGTGGGAAATTTGTATGGTAATGACAAAGAGTGACATAAACTGTCATGCATATACTTCTTTTTAGGAGTCCCATAAATCAAGAATGAAACGGGAAATTGCTGAAAAACAGATAGATGATAGGAGAAAATTTTCTTTGTTTACTGAAAGAAAATACCAGACCCTCGTGAGTATTTTTTCAGACTTGGGGACAGGATGGGGATGGCTTCACACATTGTGGATTCTGACCATCAGTCTCCCTGTCTGTCCAGAACTGCAGCGTGAATGCGAAGTGCGTCAACATCAGGTGCCCCCTGCAGGGGATGGACAGCAAGGCTTCTCTCATTCTGCGGTCCAGGTTGTGGAACAGCACGTTTCTAGAGGTATGGCCCTGCCATGAGGCTGTCCCTGGAAGTCATTTGCTACCACCGAGGACATTTGTTACTGTCTAACACATCCACTGTCTCCCAACAGGAATATTCTAAGATGAACTACTTGGACATTCTTGTGCGGGCTTCCATTGAGGTGACTGCTGCTGCTGGTAATATCAAGCTGCCCCATGCAGGCACGCAGGTGAGAGGTCCCCAGTCTTGGCTCAGGGTGGGTCCCTCTTCCTTTCCCTGTGCCCACAGCCTGAAGTCACATTCTTTGGTGTTCCATGTCCTTCGAAGCCCACTTCCCCCAGTAAGGAGGAAATAGATAAACTCTTCAGGCATTACCAGCCAATACTGTATTTTTGTAGAATCACTGAAAAAAAGGAAGTCTGTCTGCAGTCCTCCATTCAGCAGGAATGAGGCAGGTATAGAGGTCATTGACTCAGTGGGAGCAGGTACACCTTACAGCCCTTCTTAGAATGCCCAAATCAGGGGCTGGGGAGATAGCTCAGTAGAATAAGCACTTGCCTGGCAAGTGCAAGGTCCTGAGTTCAATCCCCAGTATCACAAAAAACAAAAACAAACAAACAAAAAAAACCCTACATTCTTGCTTGGCAAACGCAAAGTCCTGAGTTTGATCCCTGATACCACCAAAAAAAAAGAAATGCCCAAACCAGCAGTGGCCAGCTGAAGATCTCTCTCAGCTGGGCACAATGGTCTACTCAGGTAATCCTAGCACAATGGGAGCCTGAGGCAAGAGAACTGAGGTCAAGTCCAGCTTGGGCAACTTTTAGCAACTTAATAAGACCTGTCTCAAAAAATAGAAGAGTTGGTGATATAGCTCAGTGCAAAGGATTGGCACCTGATTTTTGGTGCAGTTAAAAAAATAAAATGAGGTTGAGGGGTATAGCACAGTGGCATAAGTGCCTGCCTGGAAAGTGCAAGGTCCCAGATCCAATCCCCAGTAGTTCAAAAAAAAAAAAAAATTAATAAAAATAAAACACTCTTACTGGATGTGGTAGTGCATAGTTGTAATCCCAGCTTCAGGAGCTAAAACAAGGCTCATAAATTCAAAGCTAGCCTGAGCAGCTTAGCGAGACCCTGCCTCAAAATAAAGAGGGTTTAAGGTGTAGCTCAGTGGAAAGGCCCTGAGTTCCATTCTAGTACCACCACCAAAAAAAAGAAAAAAAAAAAAAGAAAAAAGAAAGAAAAGAAAAGAGATGCTAGAATTGAGCCTTGTAACATATGTCTCTGTTACATCTATTAAAGCAAACTCATAAACAGTTTCCTGTCTTGGCCATCTAGCAGCCTTCTCAGTAATTGAAGCTGCGAAGTTCTCCATCATCTCTGTTGTGTTCTACTGAAACTTCTTGGATGGTTTCATCAGAATTCATTGTTGAGCTGTGTTTCCTGTATCATGTGTTTAAGTAGTATGAAAAACTAAATGCACGCCTTTAAATGTATCTTCACACTTCTGGCCCATTGTTTCATATGCACAGCACTTTTGGGTGTTGATCATCTGCTGTCTCAACTTTCTATCTGTGCAAGCTTTTTTCTTCAAAACCAAGAAGTAAACATTCTATGTCCTTATTCATTCGTCAACAAAACTGTGGGAGCGAACAAGGAATAGGGCTTTGTAGTGATCCGCTAGTAAGCAGCTCCCTTTGGGCATCAAGAACCCCCAGGGACTTGCATTAGGATCTTGCAGAAGAAGGACCATAGGTCATGGTAGGAATTGCACATGGGAACATTTTGACAAATAGACTGGAGAAAGGTTGTATGCTTCTGCTCTTCCATTCATGTGCTGGCTTATGAAAATGCTCTGACTTTGATCAGTTCAGTAGTGGAAACTTCATTGACCCTCCTTAACCAGTCTCGCTTCTGAAATACAGCGCTCTTTAGAATGTCTTTGGATTTATCATCCAGACCAGAATACATTCGTTGCCACGGATGGTGTAAACTGCGGCTGTCCCAGGCTCACCCTGGCTTTCAGGCATCTCTGCAAGTTGCTGCAGCCCACCTCTCATCAGTAAAGCATCCGAAGGACCTGGAGTGCACCACACCCTCCCTGGAATCCTTTCTCCCCATATCCGGCTCAGGCAGCTGCTACAGCTTCTAATGACTACAGGGAGGCAACTGAGCATCACAGAGTTTTTTTAGAGCTGCAAAAAGTTCAACACTTTAGAGAGAAGGGACTAACAATAAAATGTCCACAATTTCCTAGATACTTTTTATTTGTTTAAACTTAAGAACACCAAGGTAGGCATTATATTCATTTTACAAACAAAGAAAGAGACTCAGGTTAGGATTTGAGGTCCTGAACCAACACTCGTAGCTGTCTAACTTCAGGGCTCTTGTGCTGCTTCTCTGGGACACGTGGTCCTTACGTCACAAATTCAGAGGCAACATCCCGCATGACCAGCAAGTGGAGCTGAGAATAAATCTCAGGTCTCTAGAGTCCTAGGTGCTCTGGCTTCTGGAAGATGCTTGAACAGGGGTCCCAGTATCCTGTCTGGTCACTGAGTCAGTAGTTGGAAGGAAGTTGTCTTGAGTATTTTATGTTCTTAGGGCTTAGAGAACTCTGGCCTTCTAGTGGGAAGCCAATCTTTGCATGATCCTACTTTGCTTAATAATTGGCAGATCAGTGACTGGAGTCTCATGTCTGGGACTTATTTCTGAGAAAAATTGAAACATTTTATCTCTAGTCTTCTGAAACCTCTATTTTCTGTGATTTCTGGGATACAATAGCTCCGGTGTCATATCTATACTTTTCTTTAGTATTTTAAGGTACAGTTTTTCTGGGCCTGAAGATTTGAGCTTAATTTGGGTATCAGGATGCTTTTTTTTTTTTTTTAATGTCTTCTTGTGTTAACGGGTTATAGTTTCATCTTCTTGGTTTCCCCTGTTCTTTCCAGTCTGAAGACCATTTTCTTTGGAGGTTGTGTAATTCATTCTTACTTTTTCGGTTTTAATACTACAATAATTTCTCATTTCTTTTTCTCTAATTCTACTTTAAAAGAAGGAAAAAAAAAAACTTTTTTGGCTTCTTCATTATCCAGTTTCAAGAGCAATTGAGTTTACCACCCACTAAAACACTTTCAAATTAAGATACTGTCAAAGTCAGCCTTTGACTTAACAAAGTCAGAAGTCACAGATTAAAGCAAGTTCAGTGATTTTTTTTTTTTTTTTGGTTTTGCCAGAGATCAAACTCAGGCCCTCAGGCTTGCCAGGCAGGCACTTATTCCACTCAGCTAACTCCCCAGTCCCAATGATTACATTTTATTTATTTATTGGTGGAACCGGGGATTGAACTCAAGCCCTTGTGCTTGCCAGGGAATGACTACATTTTAACATCAATTATTAAATTGAATGCACACAGTTAACAAGTACCTGTTAAAACAACATGTGATCCTTCCCTGTGCTGGAGGCCAGAAGCAAAACTGAATGAGAAGGGCTGGGAAGATGGCTCAGTAGAATAAAGAGCTTCCCTGGCAAGGGCCTGCATTCAATCCCCGGTTCAGTCAAACAAAACAAAACAAAAACCTGAATGAGCTGCTTTTTTAAGAATGTCATGCCCCAGGAGACAGAACCAGGAGAGAAATGTTGACTTGGTACCAAGGGAAGGGTGGATGTTAGTTGTGTATGTGTGCCTACCTCATTTGAAGGAAGCAGACAGAAAACATCCAAGCTTCCTGGCTGCGCAAGATAAATCATGACAGGTAAAAACAAATACTCCATTATTTATGTATTTATGTCTGTATTTTTTTTTTGTTGTTGTTTGTTTGTTTGTTTTTTGCGGAACCGGGGATTGAACTCAGGTCCTTGCGCTTGCCAGGCAAGCACTTATTCTACTAAGCCATCTTCCCGGCCAATGCTCCATTATTTAGAAGAAAGATTTTAGTTTTTGGTTCTAAATTCAGAGAAGAACTTAAGATATGTTTCCTTCTTTTAAATATGGGAAGTAAGAGATATGGCAATCCCTGGAGGTAAGTTTTTTTATACTGATGTAGAGGCCATCATAGATTAATCAGCAAAAGTATTCTGGCAGCTGGCAAGCTAATATGGTCCTGGCAGCACTGCTTGGCAGTGGAATTTGTTTTTGTATTTTAGGGAAGGGTCTGCAGGGTGTTCAGGGTCTCACTACTGGATCAGACATAGTAATCTGCCTTTTTACAGCCTCCCAAGAGCTAGGATTATAGGTGTGACATCACACCCAGTCTCAATTGCCCTCTCAGTGCACCCTGGGATGGGGCTGGCACAGCAGGCCCAGGGATCAAATCCCCCGCCCCTGCGCTTGCTTACCGGTGTTTTAACCCACTGAGCTATTTGAGCAGTTCTTTACAGTGGAATTTAATGCATCAGGGGAGTTTAAGTCCTTTTGCTTTCCTGGGCACATGGTCAGGTCTGCGTGGATAGGTCCTCACCACAGAAATGCCTGTGTTACTAAAATCAAAGGAAGAAGTATTTGGAGAGTTGTAAAGGTCTGCGCAATTTCTACTCACCTAAAGCTGTTATCATTAATAAAAGTAAAAGCTGTCATTTGAAAGTAAAAGCTGTCATTCGTTGGTTAAAGTATCCCTTTATCAGCTTCCTACTTCCTGCCATCCCAGCTGTCATTCATTCATGACTGTCAATCATCCAATAATAATGAAAATGATGATAATAATAATAATAATACAATTTAAGTAAACAAACACTACAGTCTTGCCAACTGGCTACTCCCTGGACCCCGGAACTCTCTCCCCCATAAATATGTAGCCAGCCAAAACTCTGACAAAGTCCTCTATTTTTGATGCCCAGTGAGTTGCTTCACCATATGGGTTTAAATGGTGGCCAGACCTGGGATTGTAGAGATTCTACTGGATTCCTACCCACCCAGCTGCCCAGGCTGCGAAATCAAAAGTTACCTTGTCCAGCCCTTGGGATTTTGGATAGCAGACATTTATAGGAGTGGTTTCTCCTGCTGCTGTCAACCATTTTAAAGGCACCAATGCATGGTGATTATCATAAGGCAGATTCCCTTGGCATAGATCAGCCTGTGCTCTGCATTTCCAGATTTGCCAGCTTATTCTTACAGCCACCTTGCCTCAAGGACACACTGTGCTAGATTCCAGAGAAGGGAGGTTAAATGAGATCCAGCTTTGGCAAAGGGACGTTACTGTTCTGTTGTAATTAGCTTATAAGTATATTATTTCTTCTGGGGCCTTTCACTGTTCCTTCCTTTCTGGTTGCCCTACACTGGACCCAGCAATCTCAAGAAAGGGTTGTAAGGCTGGGGAGATGGCTCAGTAGAATAAGTGCTTGCCTGGCAAGTGCAAGGGCCTGAGTTCAATCCCCAGTTCTGCCAAAAAGAATGAACGAACAAACGAATGAACGAAAGAAAGAGTTGTTTTACCTTAAAGCTAAGGCATTTGCTGGAAAAAGTGAAGAGAGAGAGCCTGGTGGCTAGCAGGGGCTGTGAGCTTGGGGGAACCTCATTCACAGCGTAACAGGACACAGGTAAAGGTATTGTGCTGGCTACTGGAGACAGTGGAGCTGGCTGCAAACTCCAGATGTAAACTCATGCCTATGAAGTATTTAAACAAAAGCATTCTGCTGCTTGTATTTTCTGTAAGTCCAATGAGAGCGATACACTGTTTTTCTAGAAGTGGAAAGGGATGTACTTGAATGAGGAGATTTAAAAAATAAAAATTGTAGAAGTACTGAAGCCCCAGTATAGGTACAGAAGCATGGTTAGACGGTATCCCGGGTTCAATCTTAATATAAAACACTTAACTAAAAACACTGCTTACAAATTAAGGTCTTCTGAGTTTTATTTGCCTTTTGCTTTATATCCTATCAGTTCAGAAATACAGAAAAATAGGGTCAGCCAGATAGCTCAGCAAATTAAAGCACTTGCTTAGTTAGGCAGACACAGGGATCTAGGTTCAATCCCAGCTGTGCTGGCACCACTCCCAGGGTGCGCTGAGACAGTGATTGAGACGGTGTGGTGGCGCATACCTGTAATTCCAGCGCTTGGGAGGCTGCAAACAGGAGGATCACTAAGAGTCTAATCTGTGTAGTGAGACCCTGTGGACCCTGTACTATATATATATAGAGAGAGAAATAACAGAAAACTATGACTAGTAAATCTCTGATCCATGTAGTTTACAAAATCAATATTCATTGCAATCCCTAGGTCTTTGCATGTTTTGATAAACAGCTCCTGGCTTCACAAAGTCTGTTTGAAATTCTAATATACTTCATTTACACATAATGGACATATGAGAATGGATATAACTGAGTCGTTGCATTGCCAGAAGCAACTTTTTAGGTTTGTGGGTAAACACTGTGTTTATTTAATTGGTATTTGTCAACTGTAAAATGATTAATACTTAAGCTTCTCATCAGCTACAGCATAAGTTACACTCTCCTTCTGAGTGAATCTAGGGTCTAGTTTGTCTTCACACATTTTTGTGGAAGATGGCATCCAGCCATCTCAGGAAATTGTATTTATGAGGATCATTAATTTGATTTCTAAGAAGCTAGTCATTCAGCTCCATCTCTATTTTTATATCTGATAGCATCTTTAAAATCTGAGTTGTAAACCAGGCATGGTGGTGCACGCACATAATCCCAGCACGTGGGAGGTGTAAGCAGGAGGATCGTTGCAAGTTCAAGACCAGCTTGGGCTACAAAGTGAGCTCAAGGCCAGCCTGAACTGCATAGTGAGACCCTGTCTCAAAAAAAAAAAAAAAAAAAAGACAGGGCTGGTGAGATGGCTCAGTGGTCTAAAGCACCTACTTAGAACAAGCTTAGCAAATCACAGGGACCACCGTTCAATCCCCCAGCACCACAT